AAATGATGTTATTAATAACCAATAGTCTTTGGCAGGACCTTGGCAAGGTTCCCATCCCTGATGTAAAGTAGCTTTGGGCTGTCCTCGACTGCTTTCCCAGGCCACAAGAAGGTAGCTGGATGGGAAGTGAGGCTGCCGGGATTAGAACCGGCGGCCATATGGGATCCCAGTATGTGCAAGGTGAGGTCGTTAGCTATACAGCATCGGGCCCCCAAATTCTTAACTGTGGATTTCAGAGTGTTTGGGAGGTGTTGAAGCTGAGTCACAGCAGGTGAAGCAGCCTCCTGCAACACTGGCATTTCACGTAAGTGCTGATTTGAGCAGCTCCACTTCTGATCCAATTCCACAGCCTGATCCATCCCTCACCATGGCCACCACTGGGGAGTGAACCAGCAGCCGGAAGATGCTTTCGTGTCTTCTTCTGTCTGAAGCTCTGCCTTTCAATTAAGTCAACTTTAGGGGGAAGAAAAAAAGTCCTATCTGATATAAAATAACTTATTGATATGTCCATCTGCTTAATTTTGTTGGCTGTATTTTTCACCTGAGAGAAGAAATGCGAAATGTTCTGGAAAGTTCGGTGCCTGTAGTACCATTCTGCCAAGTTGTTTAGACCCGAAAACCAAAGTTGATATTTTCAATATTTATTGGTAAGGCTGAGACAACAGCCTTTATACAGCACAATTTACATAAGTTATCAAGGTACAGCTTGTATACAATCACAAAATCAAGACATATTTTTACATAGGGTAAAACTCAAGACAGATTTACAGGCATTTGTTTTTTTTAAATATAGCTTTCGTAACTTTTCAGGTCAATGTATACAACCTTCAGCCCAGGAATTTGCATTTGTTCATCGGATTTTTCCAGAGGAATTTGGGTAAAACAAAGAACACGTTAGCAAATCACCGACGTGGCATGCAACGCAGAGTCAGAAACAAGACATGTCTCCAAGTATTGTATTTTTTTTTTATTTTGAAATTAATTTTATTCGCATTTTTACCACTTCAGACAGGAAATTGTCTTCTGGAATATTGGATGTGTTGTTGTTAAGATATTAGCACACACATTTTTCAGTAGTGAGAGCACCTTAACACGTCACCAAACAAATACAGACACGATAAAATAATCATATTCACATGCTAAATCGCAAATGAAATTAGTCCTTCCATTTTGTCTATTTTCCCAAATGTATATAGTATGTACAGGTAACAAATTAAGAAAATGTTCTCAACTACCTATCAGATAAATTGGATTAAGTGATTTCACTGCTGTAACACAACATGGACCGTACAGAAAACACTGATGTGTCATATTCGATGAGAATATCTGTTTCACTCACTCGTTACACTAGAGGCAAGTACTTATTGTTAAAGAAACATCTCCTAATTCATGGAGTTCACTTTCATTTCCCTTTCAAGCTCCTAAAGCGAGGAAAACACTCCGTCACACACTGAATTATAAACACACACATATATAGCTGTAGTTGGCTGATACCGGCGATATCAGACATCGTAGCAATGAAAATAAGTTTTTAAAAATATTGTTATGATTTAAATTATAAAGTAAAAAAATACTATATCTTTATGATATTTTAATGAAATGAAGCATTGATCAAATACTTTCTAATATATTGGGCATAATATAACATCTAACTGTCTTTTTGGTCACATCACCACCACCGCTAGTTGCTACCGCCACTGCTACCACCATGATCATTACAACCATTGCAAAAGTTACAATCAGTATCAGCTGGTTACCAGCTATAATATTCCCATAATATGACTGTGTAATGTGTGTGAGCCATGAAATTAATCCCACAGATCTGCTGAAAATACATATGGAATCAGTGTGATTTGCTAACATTATGACAACAAGAATAAAGATAACGGTCTTGGATATCCTACTTTCAAACTGAAATGGTAAATCCAAGGTTCGGAGTCACCAAAGTCTTTTTAAGACAAAAAACAAAACAAAACAAAACAAAACAAAAAACCCACAAAAACAGGGAAAGCGTAAACTTTTGCTACAAGTGTTATTTGTGTCTGTAATGATTGTTCCGCAGTCCCAGATTTTTAATAAAAATTCATCCTGTGCTTCAGCTTCTTTAGGACCAAATGTTAAATCAAGATGCAACTTTTGTCTGAGGAGTCAGTGGAAAGGCCGGGAACAACAGAGATGCTGGCTAAGCTAGAGGTGCTGGAATTGGATTAATCACGTATTACCTCGAGATTACAAACTCTGTCACTATTAGGATTCCAAAAAAGGTCAATTCCAATCAAACAAAATAAAAAGTGGAAAATCATATGCTGTGATCCATACAAAAAAGTAAAAAAAAAAACAAAACACTGAGAGCCCTATTTGCAATTAAAAAAGAAATAGTTTTTGTTGTAAGAAGGGTAATCGATAGCGTTCAGAAAAATGCACTCCTTTGAGGAACAGTGTTGCATAGAGGAATTCCAGTACAACGTAGGAGCTGGGGTCAGTTGCACACCTGGCACACTGGCAGGACCTGATGGGTCTCCATGAGGATGCTGGCGCATGCCAAGAAGTCTGCTGATACTTTTGGCAGTTGACCCGGTCCCATCACTAGTTCCTTGAAATGGAGGGCCATCTCTAACCACAAGATTCCTACTCTTTCCGACGAATTAGCTAGCAAAGGAGGATCTTTCTTTGGGTGGTCCTTCCATTTGTATTATTCTACAAGAAATCATAGCTGGAATGGAATAGGCTAAGTGGTCACACAGCCTGTCATGCAGGCTTTTGGTCGTGGGTGACTGCCACAGACGATCAAAGGAGAACCAAAGTTTTCCTTTTGAGGAAATAGAGCAGAGTCTTTTCATGTCCAGAGGAGAGCTTCTCGGTCCTTTTACCTCCCCAGTTGTGAGCAAATATGATAGGCTTCTTGAAGCACTCGCTTCTGCTGAAATATCCATGACAACCATCAGCAGATCTGTTCGTTTCTAAAAATACTATCTTAGCAACTGCTGTGTCTCTGATGATTTGCTTCCCTCCTGCTCATGTCAGATTAATATCGATAGCACTGCATCGTTGGGGGCGGGGAGTCAAAACAGGAAAGAAATCTGCCAGGTGTCTTGCTCACCACGTTGGAGTAATGGTTGTCATCGTTGATGCATATGGTGAAGATACAGCCTGAGTGTCTGTCTTTACGTTGGAAGCTCAGGTGTTCAGGGTTTTACGTGCCTGTCAAATTTGAAGTCTTTTTTCTTTCCTCTAAAAAGTGAGAAAATTCAGTATCCAAAGCATATTTTAGAGACTGCTTTCTCTGATCTCATGAAACCTCATCCCTGAATAAAGCAGCAGCTTTTAAGTTTGGAATGCTCTGAAAGGCAATTTAATGTGCTTTAGGTGGGATGTGGAAATGGGATAAGATCACCATATTTCATTTAACTTAGGCTATCAAGATTGGCAAATCATTTTCGTTGAATTATTTACCTTACACGGGTTGCTTATATTTTAAGTAAAAAAAAAAAAGAGATGAGTTTTGGGGTTAATTCATTGTTTTGTGTCCATGCCAATGCTCAGAGGATATTTTTCATCCATCAAATTTGGGAATTAAAAAGCTACGTGATGCTGATTCCTCATTTCTGCGTATAAAATTATACTTGGAAATGTGCTTTTCATGTTTTATCGATTTCCGGGTTTGATCATCCCAAGAGGCTATTAGAAAGTCTGGGAGGACATCATTATTTTTATCCTAGAAAGAAACCGAAGGAAAGTGAGTTTGAGTCCTAGAAAGTGACATTGCTAAATTGGCAGAGCGAAGACAGAAGCCAGGCTTTTAACACAGTTTCCACAACTCTGCATGATACCCTTGTAGGTTCTTGGTTGACAGAAAAGAGAATGCCTCCTTTTAATGACTTTGACATTGGTTGTTTCACTTTATAGTACGAAAAGACCTCAAAATACATATTTTAGTTTCAAGGACTTTTACATTTTTCTCAACATCGATCAATTTGGTTGCTGGCATACTGTCAACAAGAAAGAATAAAGAGCATTAGACAACTTGATTTTGGTGTCAGAGTTTTCATTATACAATCAGTTAACGAATGAAGAGAAAAAAAAATCATTATGAAAAAGCAGGAAGTGGGATCTATGTATTCAATGTCACGGGAATAATGTTTTTTTTATCAGAAGAAGAGTTTTATTTCTCTGTCAATATTTCAAGAGAAAGACAATACGCAGGATACCACATGTAGTTGTAGTTCGGTAATAAACAGGTTCTTTTGCTTCCTAAAACACATCTGTTTAATGTAAGCCATCTTGAGTGCCTAGTCTGAAAATTTCTGTACTTCAACAGTAAATTATGGAGGTCTTGTTTTCATCCGCAGCTCCGATATTCTGTTAAGTAGCATTCTTTGTAAGCCAATCATAGTTTTATTTCTAGATAATTCTCACTTCATGTTGCAATTTCACTTTATATTATTTCAAAGCATATGAAACAAATGTGCTTTTGCCATGTTGATTCCCAAGGTCATGATGTACACCTTTGACAATTGCCAGAGAATATGACAGCCAAGAAGCCATCACTTACACTTTCCCTGTTTCCACTTTTTCTTACGAACCCATCCATCTCGTTCGCAGTTCTAGACAGGTAGTGTAGGCGGTACCGTATGCCAGAATTTCAAAATTGCAAATATGCAAGACTGAGAATATGATGAAGAATAAGACTTTCTAAATTTCGAAAAATTGAAATTTTGCATCCGTTCTTTCCTTTCCGCAATTTCCTTTGCATGAGAATCACCTTTGTGCTACAATGGGAACCATTTTGGTCTTTGAGCCTGTCTTTTTAGCTACAGCTCAGTTTTGTGCAATCATTTTTGTTGTATGTAATCAAAATTTCAGAGTTTTTCTCGACAACCATCACAAATCCAGGATCTCACAGCTACACTTAAGTTTTGGGGTCTTCAACTCTTGAGCATATTCATTTGTTTTCTGTGCTCCACATAATAAATTTAGAAGACCTGTTTGTTGCCTATTTCCACTTCATATTTGCCCCTGAAAGCGTAGGTTGGCAAAGAGCATCCAACTACAGTCTTGATCTAAGGCTATTTAGAACAGTTTCTATACCCTGAGAAGACACATTTCTTCAATGTGTTTGAGTAGAACTGACCAAAAGTTTGTGCCAGTTGACTGTTCTTTTTCTGAGATCCACTTTGTCAAGCCAGATACAAGCTTCACCAATCAATGTCTTTTTCATAAACTTCCCTCCATTGGAGAAAAGTGAAATCTAGGGGGGAAGAAAACAGTCAAAATTATGCATTGTGTATATATCTGTTTCAGTCTTTGTTAAGAAAATGTAATCATCAAGGAAATAGCATAGAGACAAAGACAAAAGAAAGCAGCAGGCACATTTCTAAGACTGATAACCAATGTGTCTTCCAAAGATTGACATAACATAAATGAATTCACATTCTTGTTTTTATTATAACTTAAAGGAAAAATACATCCTGAAGGACGTGAGAATACTAGACAAGAAAAGAAATATATAAATAGCGCATTCTAATTAGGTATTTGTTTAAACTGTTAGGAAATCTCCCTAAATAAGTTTGCCAAAAACATTCTTACGAGTTTGCAAAACTGTAAATCAAATACAAATTTCTTGAATGCTGGATAGACAAGTTGATTTTACCTACTATTTAATTTGCTGGCAGTTTTACCACAGTTCACCACTTCCAAAATATTTCCTTAGGACTTAAATTATCCCCCAAGATCTCAGACTAGAGACGTGGGTTAAAAAGAAGATTGAATACTGGTTGAGGTTTACCTCTAATTCTTGACAATAATTCTTTTCCTTCCTGCTTTTTCTTTGCAGAATCACCTCTCGGTAATCCACTTTTATTCCTGTTTAAGACTTTTCTTTCAGGTTTCAAACTTCAACACTTATATTTCCACGTATTTGTAGTTTTCATTTTTAAACTTCCAAGAACATCGTATATTTCACACGAATAATTAGAATAGTCATTTCAGAAAAAAACTGAAATTTGTCTTCCTATGGTTCCTCTCTTTGATTACTTAATCTCTATGATTGAGAAATTTGTTCACGTAGATTGTCAAACTTCCCCTTCTATTTTTTACGTACTTGTAATGTCTGTTCATTCTTACAGTCAATTTTTGCTTTGAAATGTTTCGTATTTATCTCCAGTGTAAAGTTTTAGGGGCTAGAACCCTGAGATCTCTTTCAAAATCTTTTTTTTTTTTTCTCTTTCCCTCCATTTTTTTTTTTATTGCTTGTTTTTATATCTATTGAAGACACACTCTAGGAGCAAGAACAATCAAAATTAGGCCTTTCCCTAAAGAAGGTTTATACACACACACACACATAGAAGGTATAGAATATATATATAGATATAGAAGTGACAGGTGAATGCAAATCTAGACAGCGTCGGATTGACAGTGTTCGATATGAAAAGTAAGAGGAATGTATGCAGAAGAGGACAATATAAATAGAATTACCTGAAGGGAATGTCCCGCTGGACTTAGGCTGAATCTAAAAGTCTCATTGAACGACGGCTCTCGATCATGTCTACATACTCTTGTTTTTTTCTTGATCACCTTTTTCTGAGTAGAGATGTTCATTACATATATTTTCACATATAAATCTGAAAGTAAGAATTCAGTCCGGTAAGTGCCCAACATTCATCAGATTTTCTATTGAAAGAATTATATAATTGTGCGCTTAGGATTTTCCGTAAATATTCTACAAAGGCGATAGATTTGTTTCAGACACCATAAAGTTATTAAGAATACATCAATTGGCTTGATAACTTCTGTGTGTTTTCATTTTGTTTAATAAATATATCACTTCAGATAAGCATTTGGCCTAGTAGATAATATATTGATTAAGATGTAAGTATTCTATACTGAAGTACCTTAGAGTCAGAGTCCAGATACCTGATAAAATACATCTTAGGATAAGTGGCGATGGCTGAAGGCTTTACGTTTCTGTTATCCAGGTGGAAGATCTGGCCTCTGACTCTGGCCAAGGACCAGCCCCTGGTACTGTGGCACTCACTATTTAGAGGGCAGCCCAAACCCTTGTCTGTCCTTCTATGTTGCCCAAATAGATAAATATTTTAAAATATCAATATATCACTTTAATTTTTGTATTTAAAATCTAGCTGAAGGTAAGAATAAATAACTTGTTCCATTAAAACAAATTAATTCTTCTTTCCTATTTTTCTGATGTAGCTGATATACAACCAAAATTTGTTGGCATTTTCAAGAACATTTAAGAAATATTTATAATAAATTCCTAGGCATATTGTGTTGATCATTGTTGCAAAATTCCATACCTGGTAAATGATCAGGAGACTTAAATTTATAAGTAATATTTCTGCATTGGAGTATTTCAACTATCAGTTGTTCACCATCTGTCTTCATTTCCTTTTTCAATGCAATCTTGATTTCTCCCGTGACCTGGGTTTTAACTGGAAGAATTTATTTGAAAAGTTAAAGAATGTTTAATGACATTTGTTCATTGCTATTCATTCATCTGTATATTTGCCTATTATTTGTGAAGTCTTAACCACCATTTTGCTGACTTGGATATCCAAATGAAGAAACACTGCCCAAGACTTTCAAGTGTGAATGGTCTCATGAAGAGACTGATACATTCCACAGATGCTAGCAATAATGTTTGTTAGGTATAATGACAGAAACCAAAAAGAGGAGATGTGAGAACACACTAGTTTATGGGCATCATCCCACTATAGAATGTTAGGTCAAAGGAGGCGATAAATATGAATTCAGGCAAGAACACACACATGCAGACAATAGGATTCTAACATAATCTGTGGGAAACAAACAAAAAAAATCATACAAAACATAAGAATACAATAACATTGAGTGAGTTAAACAACACATTTACATCAATAAACATAAAAAGACGAAAACTGAACAAATATACCTAAGAGTAGAGCAACTGGACCCAACAAATGTTTACAGCACATCTCACCTAACAGCTACAGAACGCATACACTTCTCATCAGTAATAAAACGTTCTCTAGGATAGCTAACAAGTTCGTTCACAATAAAAAGGATTGAAATCATGTTACATGTCTTCCTAGCTTGTAAATGAATACAACTCTAAATCAAAAGCAAGGAGAATAATAGGATACTCATAAATATTTGGAAATTAAACAATACAACACTGGATGACCAGTGGGTCATTGGAGAAATTAGGAAGACAATTAAAAAAACTTTTTTGAAATGAATGAAAATGGAAAGAATATATTCAGAGCTGCGGGATGCAACAAAAAGCAGTATTAAGAAGGAAGTATGAAGCATTTGCATTAACTAATCTGAAATATGATTTATGTAGGAAACAGAAAAACCAGAACAAAACAAATCCTGAGCAACAGGATGTGAGAAATAACTAGGATTAGAGCAGGAAAAATTCTTAAGAGTAAATTCTTAATCAGGAAGCCATTGGTTTTTTTTTTTTTTTTGAGATCATAAACAAAATAGATAAGCCCCAGAAGACTAAAGAGAGAGAGAGAACAATCTCGAATCGATATAAATAGAGATGAAAAAAATGAGACATTACAATGAACACTACTTAAATACAAAGAACCATAAGAAAGTGCTGTGGAACCCACCTGCTAATACACAGGAAAACCTTGAAGAAATGGATAAACTGAAATCTACGACTTACCAAACTTAAATAAAAAAGATACATGATATAAACAGAACCATATCGAATCATGAAACTGAAGTCATGTTCAAAAGGTTCTCGCCAAGACAAAGCCCAGAACCGGATGTTTTCAACAATGCAATCAGGGGAAGTGAGAACCAAGAGTTGTAGTGAACAGAATGAGACTCTGTGATCATGCCGGGAGAGCATCCCAATAGATAAAAGAGAGAGCATTTCCGCAAGATCCATGCATTACCAAAAAAGTCCTCCACAAATTATGGATAGAGGAACATACCTCAAAACTACATATGACAAAACAGCAATCAATGCACTGGATGGAGAAAAGCTGAATGTATTTTCCTTAAGGACAGGTCAGCTTCTCCACTTGTCATACTGCGGCAGCAGCTGCCTTTTCTATCTATGGGACTGTTTGGGGCTCCAGATGGGATAATGTTTAAAAAAAAAAAAAAACTGTGAGGAAAGCCCAAAGAACAACAAATAAATGTAAGACATCGCAGTTAAAAAAAAAAACTGAAAAGAAAGAAAATCAGATTATCTAAACATGGCGTAATGGTATGTATGGAAAAACCCAGATACACCACCAAAAATGGGTTAACACTGATAAACCAATTCCGTAAAGTGGAAGGTTACAAAGTAAACATACAAAAAGCTCTCACTGAAAGAGAAATCAAGGAAGAAATTCCACTCACAGCACCCACAAAATTCAAGTGTTAGAAATAAAATGTGGCCGAAGAAGTGAAAGATATCTACAGTGTGGATTATCCAACATGGATGAAAAAAGTCATGATGGACAGAAAAAAAGGAAAGACACTTCTTGCTTATGGATTGAAAGAATCATTATTATTAAAAGGTCGTACTAGCAAAAATATTCTACAGATTCAATGAAACCCTTATCAAAAAATTACTCTCTTTACAGATTTAGAAAAATAAATCTAAAAATTCTTATAGAATCATGAAAGATCCAGAACTGGCAGTCTAATTCTGAGCAAAAAGAACAAGCTGGCAGCATCACCATACCTGACTACAAAACATATTACGGAGCTGTAATAATTAAAACATCACGGTTCTGGCATAAAATCGGCACATGGATCAATGACACAGAAAACAGAAAAGAGAAATTAAGCCATATTCATATACCAACTGACTTTTGAACACAATGTTCAGATTATATATTGGAATCTGGGTAATCTCTTCACCAACGGTGCTGGCAATCTGTATACTGCAGAAGTATAAAATTAGAGCAACACCACTCATCATACGCAATCACTTGGAAATGATGATTTAAGATCGGAGAAGATGGAATTGCTGGAAAAAAATTATAAAGAAGCACCACAACATGCTTGAATAGAAGATGATTTCTTGAATTAAAGCCACAAAGCACAATCAACAAAAGCAAGTGGAAACAAACGCGATTCTATCTAATTCAGAAGCTTCCACACAGCAAAGGAAACAAAGAGCAGAGCGAGGAAACATTCAGCAGAATGAGAGAAGCACTTGTGAGCTACCGATCCAACAAAGGGTTTACAGTCAGAATAGAACAGCAATGTTTAAAAAAAAAAACCAAAGCAGCAACAACAAAAACCAGCCAATCCAGTTAAGGAATGGGCAAAGGACCTCATAAAACAGTTCACCAAAGAGAACATAAGAACAGTCAGCAAATATGTTTACCAATGGTTAGCATCACTAGACATCAGGGAAACAACAACTCAGACACCTTACTCCTGAATAAAAGATGGATGCCCAATGAAACCATTAAATATATCTGACGCTAGCATCCGCTGTAACTACAGTATCATGATACACTTAAACAGCAAACTGCCGGGCTTATGACCGTTGCTGGTTTTAGTACTGTAGGAGAAAATAGTGGGAGGAAGGGGGACTTGGGAAGGTGGAAGGGAAAGTCCCCGAGTCTATGGAACTGTAACGCGAAAAATAAAAAAAAAATCAAGAACTGGGCAAAGCTAAACTGACAATAAAGTAATTAAATCTGAAACAATTAAGCAAAGATGACACTTCAGTAAATATTAAATGGAGCTTGCAACGAAAAATGGAAGTTTTCTAAGTTAACTATCCTATTTTGGTATGTGCAAAAGTATTCCAGGTATAATTTCAACTCATCACATGGCATAATAGCAATCTATAGATTTTATTGTCTACATTGAATAACAATGATGTTAACAAATTCATAAATTCTTAATGAAATCAATATTTTTTTTTTACCATCTAAGTACAATGCAGGAAGTGAATAAATTCATTTTTGAGGTCACTGCTTTGATCCGTGCTAAGTCATCAGTTCTTTTATGTACTATCGCTGTGTTCTATCAACTTAAGTGTCAACAAGAAATAACGCAAGAATACTGTGACAACACTTCGGCTTCATGGATTTATGATCTCGGGTACCTCTGCTGTTTCATTATCTTTTGACACTTTTGAGATATGATTCTCCGATACACATATTTTCTAGACTAATAATCTATCTAGCTAAATGAATTTACATTTTTATAGCTACATATATCCTGACGTGTACAAAAATATCTAACACCTCATGGCTCCCTGCTATCTTTCTTCCGTCCAAAACTGTCCAAAAACCACTGTCGTCAAAAATTAAAGCGTCTTCCATATTCTTTTAGGAATTGAAATACAGCTTTTATAGACATTGTTAAATTATGGCATTCACTACCCTAATAGCTTACCATAACAAATGCTGGTTTTACTTTCAGGAACTCAAGAAAATAAAGCACAAATTAAAGACTGCATATCTAACCAAGCTGTCTGTCTTTTCCATATCAATTATATATATATATATATATATATAGAGAGAGAGAGAGAGAGAGAGAGAGAGAGAGAGAGAGAGAGAGTAAGTTTTCTCAGTCTACTTTTCAGACTGGCTCATACAACTAAACAAAGCCTGTCTAAATAAAAAAAACTGGCATTTATATTAGATATATTGAATCAATATGAGCTCAGAAGTCAAGATTTTATTATTAGATGGGACAGAACTCAGCTCAAAATGCAGTGAAGAAGAAAAGAAAGACTCTGTATGGCTAAAAACGTGAAAGTCATTTTGGAAGATGCATTTTGGATGCCTAAATACCATTGGCATAAAGTTGAAATTAGAAGTCATTACGTGTACCAATATACATTTAATGTAAAGCTAAAATTACTAAACTCGATTTAATGCAGCAGATATAAGGAGAAATTAAGAGAACAATGATAAAATACATCGCTGTATTATACTGTAGGCGCAATAAGTTAGAGAGTAAGTTAGAGTATAGTATGTACACAGCCTGATCGTTGAGAATGTATATTTTCCTTAAATATGTATGTTGCATTCCCAAAATGGTCATACGTGACATTAGGAGGATGCCATTGATGAGTTCTATAAAATGAAAATATAGCAAGCAGTATCTAGCCACATTCACAAAAGCCTTCAATTGAACAACTCAGCTGAACGGTGAAATACCATTAGAAAATGCAGATGTTCTGAAAAAGTAATGATAATGAAAGTTCCATGTAACAGAATCTTTGAGAGTTAAAACAATGACTGGAGGAAAATAATCCCCCTTCAAATGTCATATCATGTACAGTAATGATCAGAAGAAAATACAAGTATTGTTCTTGTATTGCTATTGAAAAAATGTTTTTAAAATACAATGGATTTAAATTGTAATCCACCAGACTAGAAACAATGAAAAGCCATTGAATATACTCATAATACTTGGTTCCGGTTCCACTTCACACATTCTCAGGGAGTCACAAAACTGCAAGTGTCAT